AAGAAATTTCTCATTTGGCCAACCTAGTCTTATTCAATTATACGTGTATTTAATTCAGGAATTATAAAACTTGGAAATGAGAAAATACAATGTAGCTAGCTCGTGAATTTTAATCAGTGAAGAATATAGCTAACTAGTGCATTATCTTTTTTCAGTGAACGGAAGATTTGTCTGCTCGATAAGGTAGAAGTTCATCTGTAATTAAACGGTTTCCATGGAATTTAAACGAAAGCCTTAAAACACTGAGCGTTTATTAGCCGATGAAGCGGTGCGGATCAAATTTTATCCTCCACATCCGATCAATCGCGAATTAAAGAGGACTTTGCAGAGAGCTCGGAATACTGGGAACGGTTAATATTTGTCAACAAGATTATGAGCATTTAGTACATTTAAAACCAAACACGAGTTATTTAACTGCAGTCGCAATGAGATATTTTAAGATCATCAGTGAAGACGCTTCGAGAGACTAAAATTGACGCACGCGAAGAGAATATTCCGAACGATTTGAAATAATCCGCTTTTGCTGGCGACGCAGTAGTTCTGTCGCTTTGGAGTTTCGTAAATATCGAGTTCGATCTCCGAAACAAATTTACGAGCAACTCGAAGAACTCGGCGAACGAGTCTGTTTTTTGGCCGATGTGGATTTTCGACCCTAATTTTATTTCAGGGTTAAATATTTCCTTGAAATAGGCGCGAGTAATGCGCCTATTTCAAGGAAATATTTAACCCTGAAATAAAATTAGGCTCGAAAATCTACATCAGCCAAACTTTAAACAGCCACTGCCAACTACAACACAGCAGAGTGTGATTTCTAAGTCCTGTATGTATGTATATACGTAATATAATCTACGATGTTAACCGAAAGTTGTTGGAAGTTATACGACATACAAAATACCAACGTTATTCTTATTGGACCTAATGTCACTCGCATTTCACCATTTATGTCAGCGGCATGTCTAGCTCCTTGTTCAGAAGCCCGAGGATATTACAATATCGACATGTTGCGCTTTAAAGCTGTCAAGAAATCCTAGGAATGTAATATGAAGCAAATATACATTTACTTTCATGACAATCGTAAAGCACAATCAAACATGTTTTCGACGACATGTCATATATTTCGAAATAATACAAACAAAAAATCATACTATAATAAATTAAATATTCTGATTTAAAACATTATTTTATAAAAATATTATTTTTTTAAATTGTTTTATAATAAATATTTTATAGAATTTTTAATAACACAATAATAAAAACATCATCTTTCCTTTATAAAAATGAAACATTTTTTCAGTTTCACTAATCTATTGACGTTCCAAAATTAAAGGACGCCATTAAATTAATAAAGATTTTGTTGCATATAGTCTTTAAAATATTTTTGTTCTCTATATATTCGATGATCGATTGTCATAGTTAACAATGGAACTTCAGAAAATATTATTTATTATAATATAAAAAAACAAATGTTAAATCTTATGCTTTCCTTTCTAAATCTTCTTTCGCAAAATTGAAACTTTTAGCTATTCAGTATATCCTTATATGTGTGTGTGTGTGTGTGTGTGTGTGTGTGTGTGTGTGTGTGTGTGTGTGTGTGTGTGTGTGTGAATGAATACTTGAAAGATGAATGAGAACTCACGAGATTTTTATGACCAAATCGCTTCGACGGAAAAGTTCCGCCAATAGAGAACTTTGTTAATTTACATATGATAAAAATCAACCTTACTTCTCGCATAATCTCTAACCACTTCAGTTCTTGCCGAAACTTACTTGGAATTAATAACGAACAAACCATTGATCCGCCATCAAGAAAAAAATTTCAAATCGTTTCTTTTTCCTTTTAATTTACGTTCGCCAATACCTAATCCCCCTGTCAACGGAGAAATACTGACTAGTAAATACAAACTTCATCTTCTCGTAAAATATGTTAATGAATTAATTAATTCTATAATTTATAAAGGATACTAATATTATTGTAAGTAGAAATTAGACCGATGAAAATAAATCAATTAAGAGAAATAATCCTATTTTCGTTCAAAGCGAATCTTAATAATATTTATATGCAAATTTTTGTAAATACATTTTTCAGTTGTATTAATTGCGTCCCATTCAATTTGTCGGATTTGAAACGCAATCACAAACTAACGCTGAAATTATATCTATATAATATTAAAATCTCAAATTAAATTGATCAATTTAATAATTATTAATTTAATAATAATGCCGATAAGTATCTTAAAAATTGTCTAATTTCTACATATAATTGTTTCTACATAAATCCTTAAAAAATGACTTGTGAAGTTCTCTCACTAATTACTGGTTATTACGATCAATATTTCCATATACTTTGATAATTAAATTGATATGACGTCCGCCCCAGATTCAAACCTCAGTTGCAAATGATATTTTTCCGAATAAGTTCTTTGCAGTGCTTTAAGATGCTTATTAACATTTTTTAATATGTTTATCATTAATAAATTGATGATCAATCTAACTTGAGATATTAATATTTCAGCTTCAGTTTATGATAGCGTTACAAGTCCGACATATCGAATCAGCACGCAGTTTACATTATAAAACTAAAAAATATATTTATAAAAATTTGCATATAAATATTATTAATCACCAAGATCCGTTTCGATCGAAAATAGGATCATTTAATAATGATGTTGATTTCAATAATATAATAAAGTACAACTTTTAGAAATTTTTTAATATATTCATGAGTTTAGAGTTATTTTAAAAGAGAATTTGACTTTATTCAACCTATTTGACTCTAAATTTTTGAAAAAATTTTAATATTCGTTTAGCGACATCGTAAATTGCACTTAATGATGCAGAGACGAGTTTGAATCAGAAACTTTATCAGGTCGCGTGAGAAAATGGACATTTCTGTGAAGTGACTTTCATACTTCTTTGACAGTGTTTTTGTTAGCAAAGCTAAGTGAATATTTTGATATGAATATCGGTGCTAGATACTCGACGTTTGCAGGCGTGAATTTTCGAACGTACGAAAATCATAATATTTTCCATAGATGTGATAAAAACGTAAAGAAGTAAAAATATGCGATAGTTAGGTCGCAATATTAAATATTTTGAACAGAATTATAATAAAATAAATTTTTAAATGATCTTTTTCAAAAAGATATTAGAGATTAATATTTCTCTGAAAAAGAATTATAAATCATTTTTCATTATCTATAAAAAAATAACTTATATGTTGAATTTTTAAACTTTATCTTTAGAAAAAAAACAAGAAAAATCAATTTAACTGCGTTTGTATTTAATCGACGTACCGACCACGAAACATGTTGAATTTGCAGTTGGATTAATGCAAAAGGTAGCAGATGGTAGAACGTCGACTGGTGACCTCTTGGCATCTCACTGAACCACGCGCTCGAGGGCAGACTATTTGGAAGATCGCCAACGACGCGTTTATTATCGTAAATTATCGTAAAATCGTGCGTACATCGAATTGGACATCGTGCCAGCTACACGTCGCAGCGTTAAGGTTCAATGATTCGTCAAAATAGCACTTGTCTCGTGATTTTAAATAACAGTACAAGCAACAAAATATTATAAATTGTGTTGCAAAGACAGTAAGAGACTAATGACATATTTACTATTATTTCACTGCATATCACAGTAATTGATAAGAAATGACACAATGATAGAAATAACAACCGATATTAATATTAGAAAATTGAATTTAATACTTATAGAGCGCAAAATGAATAACGTCGATAGTAATGAAATGGCGATGCATTATCTGTGATATTTGTTTTATCAAATCACTAATATTATCTGTTTGTTGTTAACGCATTATGGAATAATAATTAAAGTGAGAGAACGTAGAATAAGGTTGTATTTTAAAAAATACAGCCTTTCACAACGATAAACATCGCGATAAAAGTGTATAAAAACAGATCAAAAATACATTTATTGATAACTTCCGTTGTGTAATTTGATAAAAAGTCGAGACACTCGAGACAAGTAGCTTTTATCGTATAAAAACGTAAGGTAAACAGCAGACACATATCGTTGATGAAATGCTCGAGTAATACGAAAAGAAATTTCTTTGATGTCAAGAGAGAACATGAAACATGATCGTGGCTTCACGCAGAGAGAGATAAATAAATAAGTTGGACTGACAATGTGTGAAGAAATAAAAGAAAAAATATGTATAATAGAAATAGAAAGAAGACGATGCGGGAGAGGCAAAAGGAAGTATTTCGGAAGTTGCAACATAATTTGCAAGAGCAACTTCCGTTATTTTCATTAATTACTGAACACCACTTTTTTTTAAAACACTGTTGTTTCTCAAATTTATCGAGAGATAAAGCTTAAGGTTGCAACTTTCTATTAATTAGAGAATTTAAACGAGACAAAAAAAGTAAAAATACGTTGCACAATATATTAATTAAAAAATTGTTTGTTAACGGTTTATTTAATCATTACCGATTTATCTTTGAAATTAAAAAAAATCAACGTAAGCGTAGTAAACCGCTGAGAAAAAATGTCAGGTTGAAAATGAACGAATCAGAAGATTCTGATTATATCGAACAAAATTGTGGTTATCGTCACTAAAATTCTAGTAAAAACCAAAAAATTTGTCCATTTTCAATTTCAATTAATCCAACCAGACATTTTTTTCAGTATATGGAGAATACCAGAAATTTTTCAATTATAACGGCTTAACATTTCAGTAAAATTTAAGAATCTCACAGGCACAAAAAACTAGATCCCAGAGCAAAAAATGCACGCCGCAGCGATTTCGTGACGTTCTGTCACTTATCACATATTTAGTCGCGCGTCACTGACACCGCGGAGATAACCAGATCCGTTTTAGCGCCAAACAGCGCATAAAGACTTGAAGATGAAATGTATTTACGTACGATTAGTACGGCAATATTATGCCATAATCATCTCGCGGCTTGCATTTGAATAACCGAAAATATCATCCGATAAGGTTTTCAAAAAAACTTTAACGATATATCGTCGCTTTTCCTGCTTCTATATTTCGCAAAAAAATTTGTATCAAATATTTGCGCTTCAATAAAACTTTTCCGAATAATACAATCGTTCTCTATGTATCGATAGTAACTATGTATACATCGCAACTATTAAAATGCTGTGTAACTTTACCACTAATATATGTTTTTGCTATTAATTCGCTGCTTGGATTTGCGACAGCAGTATATACAGCGCGTCTTGTATTTTAAAACGTGCACGTGAAAGCTAAAGTAACTTCCCAATATACATGCAGAAAGCGTCTAAACCGCAAGCAAAAAATTCTGCAACGGACTTTGCTTCATCCCCGTCGATCCTCTTCTTGGCGACCTTTCGTCCGTTTCTGAGACACAGGGAATTGGCCAGTCTTTTTACATTTAGAAAATCCGTGTAAGATGTTTCTTCGACAACGAAGATTTCGTAACCCGTTTTCCGTTTCATAGTTTTCCTTCTCGCTGCTTGCGACAGATTTCAGTCTGCAACAGCATAAAATTCCGAGAAATAAATATATAACATCCTTGAATTTCCCATCTTATACCGTTTCTTTCTTGATGTTACGATGTGATCAACTTGATTCTCGTGAAATCTCATATAACGATTACATGCACACACAGACACATACATATATATATATATATAAAAGATGATCCACTTTAATCTTAACTCTAAATAAAATTCGTATGGTATAAAGAGAAATGTCATCATGTACGTTCTCTTCTATACTACAGAACTTTTTTATTTGGAATGTTTTTGCAAATATTATTTGCTTGTTAAGATTAAAATTAATCATTCTTTATAAAAATATGTGTATATATATATATATTTATATACAGGATGATTCATTTATATACATATATCATGATTCTTTTTTTAATATATATATATATATATATATGTATATATATTCTGTTGCAGAAATTCCATTCTGTGAGCAGTTCGTTGTCCGAGAAGTCAAATTTAAACTTTCCGTCGCTTTTCTCTCGAAAGTACTTAACTCCCCCGTGAGAACTTACTTCGCTTGAAGAGTTTCGGCTTCGAGAAATTCTGGAGGTGAGCTTATCGTATCCTCGCTAAAGTGCCGCTTTCTCGAAACGCACGTTTAAGCGCATTCGTGCGCCACACGGGTCACAAAGTCACGTTTCACAAAGGAAATCTTCCGGTGTGCTTCTCATACCGGATATCGCTTTTGAGACTCTCTGTCTGTTGGAATAGCGATATTCTCGCGCCTTTCTGACGACTCTCGCATTTGAAGTCGTAACTCGAATCGGTTGCTTCGAGTTTCCCGTGATGCTCGTTGTCGTCGAAAGAGGATAATTTTCTGTGCACAGATGACGATTAACATGAGAAACAGAAGTCCTGTTAGCAGCTCTCCAGCGCTTTTCATTCGCGAACTCCTCGGTTAAACACATGGGATCCGCGATAACTCTTTGATAACTTTTATTATCTCTAATCAATGATGATGACGTCTCACGAAATTTCCTCACGTTGAACGGTGCGATTTGATAGTTCAATTTTGGTACCGTTTTAACAGCGTACCTTGGAATCGCAAAATCTACGTCTGCAGATCTCAATGGTTCCGATATTCCATCGGTGATAACGATGGGAACGATCGTGATTTTTTCTTTTGTCTTCGGTAAATGCAGATATTGCGCTTTTCTGAATTCTGATGTCGTTGTCAAATCTGCTTCATCTCTTTTGAATCCAGAAAATCTCGGTATATTTTCTCCAACCAGTCGAGAGTCAACTTTTTGAACGCAAAAATCGCGCTTGCTCACCGTATCAGCAAGCACATTTCGTTTGTTAGTATCATGGGAGCATATCTTCGCGGGTGACTCGATCTTCGCTACTTCTCTCGAGGAATCAGGACGCACTTGTTGCACAAAAATACTGGACACCTTAGCGAGTAAGACATTACTTGGTGACGTCGTCGTCGACGAAGCGGTCGTCAAACGTGAACGCTGAATAGGACTAACGGCTCTGCTGATGTAACGCTTTTCGATAGTGGCACGAAATTCTGTATTCACGCTGACGACACGAATCTGAGGGATGTCAGCTGACGCAGATACTACCCCTAGTACGTCACGATCGGAATCTACACCAGGATTGATCGATTTTAATGCGAATGATGAGGATATTCGATCGTCTTTGGTGACGCGTTCGATTTCGGGTAGGATGCTTTTGTGGTAATGGCTACCGCGACTGGCGAATTCCGTTTCAACGACCATCGAATCTCGATTGCCTGAGGGAATCTCGAAATGTTCGTTCGACCGTTTATTCGCTGTTTCCTCATTCACAGTGGGCCAATTGTTATCGATCACTTCCACAATGGACACCGAAGATTTTCGTCTTCGGATCTCAAAAGAATTGCTGGTAGATGTCTGCAAATCTTTCAAAGTCCGGTTGAGATATCGATGCGAATTGTACTCTGTTCTGCTAAAGACATTTGAAGGATTTGTATTGACCGTTTCGCGAGCGTACCAACCGTCCAATACAAAAGTGGCTCTATCTATTACAGTTTTAGACTTGCGATAGGGTTGAAAATTGCTATTGGAAACACATCCGTTACGAGAGCGGTCATCTAGAACATTTTCTCCGTAAAACGTATGGCTATTGGTCATCGGGAAGTAAGATATGCTATTATTGACCCGACTTGAAGATCGAGAACCATCGAAGTTTTTGAGTAGGCGAGAGGAATCGCGAATGGCAAAACTTAACGCCTCCTGTCGACGATTCGAGTCGTTTTCATTTAACCAGCTGGTACGAGAGCCTCTTGGAGTCAGTTTACCGACCACGGAGAAAGTCGAAGTCGGTGAGGTTTTATCGACGAGAGCGGATCGATTCTTGATGCCAGAGTTGATTGCGGTTTGGCGCAGATACGTCTGACCGCGATCAGGAAAATAATTGGATGTACTTGGCGACAGCACAGATTGGCCGAACGTTTCTGGTTGATCCAGATGACAGGAGATGCCAAGGTCGATGCCTGTACCGCTCAGACCCAATGTCCGAGCCTTCCCGATAATCTGGCTATATTGGTACCGAAGTGGACCCAATTCATGATCTATTTTCAGTAGCGTCTCCACATCGGTGGTCACTCGTTGGTGTCTCTTTGATTTGCCAGAATCATATGGTAAAGCAAGAGGGTCGGAAAAATTCGGTGGAAAGTAGACCGACTTGATGGAAGAGTATGGATTCCTAGCGATGTCAACGAGGTCGTTTGTCACATTGGCAGCACCTTCGTCATTGACGAACGTCGGAATTGCGTCTCGCTGTGGATCCCAATTCATTGCGCGACAGTTATTTTTCGTTTCGTGAAGTGTCACTTCCGCTACGAGCTCTTCTGACCTCCCGTCATTAATCACCGTCGTATCCTACAGAAAATGAAGACTATCGTAATCGTGGAAAAAATGATCGATTTATTTCCCTTTCTTCTACAACCTTTTATATTTTATTTATCTTAATAAAGATGTTACGCAATTCGTAAAATATTTTCGAACAACGAAAAGAAAAATTATATAAGTGACTAAATAAATCTTCATGTGACTACTCATCATTTTCCACAAATTTCATTGTAAAAAAGCTAAAGCTGTACACAAAACAAACGATTTGGTTGAAATATCCAAAAATTTAAATATAGATCCGAAAATAATTTTATTGGGTTATCAAAATAATTATGTAAGAATCTTAAGCACAACGCTGCAAAAAGTTTTGACATTCTAGCAATCAGTTCGAACATCCTACATAATTAGTTTGATGATTCAAAAAATTATTTTCAGATCTGTATTTAGCTAAATTTTTAGATACTTGAGTAAAATCATCCTTTCTGTGTACTTGAGTCATTGACAGTAAATACCCATAAACGTACGCAAAATATCGGCAGCATCGTCCTCGACACGAGTCGTTTCGTCTCGTATCGTCGATCACAAAAATTAGTCGTCGCGCCAGTCGTTAACGAGACTGTCGAAGGATAAGAAGAGATAAGCGGCGCCATCCTCTTGATAATCATAGACATTTTCTTTTTACGCGCGGATGACGACGCAGATGTCAGCGCGACATCAGTAGCTGTAAAATCTGTGGAAACGCTACTCGGGATTTCGCTCTTCATGATTGGCAAGGATTTCGACTGTGCCAAATTCTCAGACATCAAAATAAGATTATCACGAACGTACGTGGTTTTTTGGGTTAACCTGTTCTCCATAAATTCGTGAAACGGATCGGAAATAGCTTCTCTCTTTATCGTAGATACGTTTCCATCAAATGCGGAGCGTTTGCTTAAGGAAATGCTTTTCTCCTTGAGGTAAAGTGATTCTTTTGCTTGTTTTCCGTAAATTCGGTTGCCGCTGCGTTTTGAAAGAATCATGCCTTCGCTAGACGTTTCATAATCTCCCTCTATATAAAACGGGACAATTTAACGCCGCAAAATTATTATAAATATCGTTTTAAAAAATTTTAGATAAATTTTAGATAAATTATTGAAGATATTATTATGAAACAAATTTTGAAAAAGGAGAATATTATTAATTTATAACAAATATTTATTCAATATAATATAGTATCTTTAATGATTTAAAATTGATTTAAAATTTAAGCATTTTTACATTTAAAGAGAGATCTGTAACAATTTTGTGAAAATATATTTCATGAAAACTTCATAGAAAATGTAATAAGGAATATGATATAATAAAATGCAGTAAAAATAAGATAGACTTGTTTCATCTTTCTAATTTTAATCAGAATTCAATAGAATAGTGTTACATCATTTTTTTAAGAACTTGAGCTAATTAATCTAATCGTAATTTTCTAAATTTTTTAATATTATATTAACTTCATAAAGTAAAAAAGTATTAAAGATTTCATAACATTGTTGCGTTAATTATTTAGTTTTAAAGTTACGTTAGTACATGATTTTCACAGATACAAGTCTAATAGTTCTAAGATTAATGTCTCTTCCAAACCAACCATCCGTATCGGATGCACAAGTGGTCATGACGAAACTTGACACCGGTCGGACCGATCTTTCCGGTTCGTTCAGCTCGTCTCGTATCGTGTCGACGGGGAAGGGCAATACGAACGGGACGACGGAGACTTCAGCATGTCCCTGGCAATCTATGCAACTGGCCTTCGTGTCGCGTGACATTGTCATAACAGGAGGTTAGCTACAAGCCGTTTTGCATTCTCGACGAAATCCACCGAGAACGCGGACGTGCGATGGTGCAATCGTCACTAATAGATAACGCGATGACAAGATGCACTTTGGTGTTCACGCGGTGCATAATTTCACGAAACTGGAAGAGACGTGTCGGCCGAAGTTGCCGAAGGAAGTTGAACGAGCAGACGTTGGCTCGTGACAAGCGAGATGACATCGGTTACGATCGTCGAAATGTGTGAAACGACATTTAGTACCTTGGTACATTTCGGAAATTCTATTTCTACATATTTCAAATATATTTTTATAAAATTTTCGCACAACGTCAACATGGAATATATTTGTCGTTTGCATACATTTGCATGCATTCACGATTTCGATCTCGCATTTAAATACAATTGCAATATATCCTTCATTTTCGTCAGTACTATATTCCGCGATTTTACATCATGAATATAGAGATAACTTTTGCTACATCGGAAAGTGCAGACGCGCCTCCATTGTACTTTTTTTTTTTTTTTTTTTTTTTTGCGAAAATAGCGAGTGTCGGTTTTAGTACATATACATATATTGAGAACTATCGCGCGTATATCTATGACAATAAACCCAGTGGATTTCAAATGGAAGGCTCTTTTTGCAATCTAGGATAACCCATTGCAACCCAGTGCGATCAATAGTTTCTGAATTGTCAAAAGTAACGAGATCAAACTGCAACATCACAAAGCCGCGAGCGTTGCACTCGATACCGCGATTATATGTAACAAAATACGGTAGATATTCTAGCGAGATGGAGTTAAAAAATAATTACACTAAATTCGCGATCAAAATAGAAAATATATACTTTCGGATATAATAAAAACAAATATCACTCTGTAAATTGAAAATGACCGTGCAAGAACATTTACCTCTCCATCATGAAATAATTAAAATGTTACTTATATTCTAATTACAATATACATATATTACAGAATACTACTCACACAAAAATATTTAAGAAAACTAAAAGTCGATGTATCCTAAATATAATTTATATACGTGTTATGTGTATTTGAATTTAACAAACTGAATTTAAGAAAGAAGCGATTAACACATAGTAAATAATTTTATTATCAAGAGAAATTCAACTGTAAAAGCGATGAATTTTTACCATTGGTAATATAAGTTACGCATAACGTAAGGGAAAAGAGAGAGAGAAAGCGAAAACAAATCAACGAAAGAAAGAGACATGTTATCCATGGGAAACTCAATATGTAAGATAAAAGGGAGAGAAAATACGTTAAGTAACTCTAGTAAGTAACTCTTACGACCACGAAATACGGGCGAGCAAGTTTTGGCTGATATCCCAGCGTGTACCGATACTTGGCGAAAGTATAAGATCATTTCAACACGCGCCAACTTCGATCGATGTATAATATAAGAACCATTTGTCGTAAGAGGCAATCGAATTTTTGTAAAAGACATTCATTCTAATCAGCACATATTATAGCAGAACTGGATAAAATCGAATTGCGTAACGTATGCTAATTCGAAGCATTTCTAGACGACTACAATTTACATAATATACATATAATCGAGGGCCATCCGAATAGCGATTCTCATCGGACCAGAGCTGTTTAAATAATTAGTAAATAAATTGCAGATGCTATTATTATATAATTTATACGTTAAATCAGAAGTTCTTATTTAATTTCTAGTGAGAGAGACATTAATTTCTAGTTATGTTCGCGATACTTTTCCCAGCCTCGCGTAGAATATTTTTGGCTCTATTTACAAAAACGGGTTCTACTACTGTGCATCTCATAACTTTTATATCTACCTTTCTACATTTGTGTTACGGATTTAGATGATCCTCCAGCAGAAGTTATGACACTCTACTAGACTTGTAAATATGCTACTTCTTGCTGATGATAATGATGCGGATTCACATATCGAGTTTTTGAAGATTCACGTCGAATATTTATTGCACATCGCGGCCGCATTTTCAATGGATATTCATATAAATGAAAAATATTCCGCTGCATATTTTGCATCACCGTTTGATCCTATAACTCCTTTTTCTCTCATAATATAGTATACTTGCTATAATATGGATTGGAATCGAAGTTCATACAACGTTATGAACTTCAAAATTTAAGCAACTGTAACTTTATTAAAAATGAACAAAATTTAAATTCAAAGAAATGATTTTAAAGCTATAAAATCTCTCCTTTTGAAAGATGTAGAACTATGTATTTTGATAGTTTTTACATACAGAAAACTACGAGCTCAACCAAATGGGAAATTTTCTTTTCATTTTATGAGTTTGGTAGACATGATACAAATGAAGTAGCGCTACGAACTTTTGTTCCGACTCAATATTAGTTTTCAGAGTTACAGAATATCCTATTTTTTTTTTTATCAAAAAAACTCGGTTTTCTAAAGGGCTTCTTTGTGAAACATAGAAACGTTTAACTTTCCTCGAGTTTAGATATACTTTACTGTAACGTACATGGGGATGACATAAGAGAATACTTACGAGCAAAGCTTAAAAGTTATTTTTAAAAACTTTTACTAAATTTTATTAGAATACTGTAATTTATTTTACATTTTTAATTGTACCTTTTCGAACTGAGCGATAAAACGAACGATGAACTTATTACATAATTTCACGATTGATTTGCATAATTCTCATACCATGAACTTCGAATGTGATCGTAACAGAAAACGCTTATATGCAATTTCGAAATGACTCATTACGCTTCTCTCAAGAAAGAGACGAACGAAGTAACAAACCGGCTCAGTTGCACGCGTTAGGTAACATTTACCTTCCATTTACCTTCTTTTTACTTTTGACGAACAGAACCGAAAAATAGGACTTGCACAATGACACAACAGAATTATCAATTTTCTGTGAGAGCACATGGTACTCCTTGCTTCCCGATTTCCTCAAGGAAATATTCACCGACACTCCTTTCTTTGATAAAGAATTTCTCTTTACTGATTGTCACGACAGATTTACGATAATCGCTTGTGATAGCGATGCATTTGGGAAAAATAAATTCATATAAAGTCTCATGTCTCTAAATAAATATATCTCAGTAACGTTATAATACTATCAGAAGAGCAATAATATCTTTTTAGCTTTTCAAAGTAAATTAAAAGAGAAAACGAAA